AAAACTTAAAAAAAAAAAATTAACTGAGTTTTAAAAAAGATAGAGGCATGGCCTCACCGTTAATATTAAAAAAAAAAAAAAAAAAATACTAATGTAATGAAATCAGATAAGCAAGAACCTCTAAATAAGAAATATTGTTAACTATATTGCAAGAATCAGAGCAGAAAAAAAGAATATTAGGTTTAACTTAGCATATCAAGATAGAATTTTTATAAACTAAACTAAACTGAACTTTAAGTTTAGTTCAAAAATTAAACTAAGCTAAACTAAATATTTTTAAAAAATAATGTTTATTTAGTTTAATTTTAAAATTTTTTAAATTAGTATAAGTTTAGTTCAAATTCAGTTCAAGTTTATAAACATGTTTAGTTTAGTTTAATATATTTTTAATATATAACAAAATAATTTAAAATTAAGTTAAAATTCATTAGTAAATTTTAAAAATTGTAGTATTCTTTTAATTTTATTAATAAAATTATAAAGAATGCAATAATTCTTAAGAATTTATCAATATAATCTAATTTTATATTCTAAGTAACTTTGTTATATATATAAAAATATATTAAAACAGTATATTTTATTTTATGTTTAATAAATTTTAAAGAGAAGATGCTTAATTTTTAATTTTTAATAAAAATTTTTATCAAAAATTTGAAATTAAGCATTTTTTTAAAAAAGTTATTAAGTATAAAACTAAAATATAATATTCTAATATATTTTTATATGTAGAACAAAATTATTTAGAGCATTAAGTTATAATTTGTTAGTAAACTGTTAAGAATAATGATATTTTTTATAATTTTATTAATAAAATTATAAAAAATGTTACAATTTTTAGAAATTTATTAATATATTTTAATTTTATATTCTAAGTAACTTAATTATATATAAAAAATTATATTAAAATAGTATATTTTATTTTAAATTTAATAAATTTTAAAGAAAAAATACTTAATTTTAGATTTTTAATAAAAATTTTTATTAAAAAATTCAAATTTAAGAATTTTCTTTTTAAAATTTATAAAATATAAATTAAAGTATGCTGATCTAATATATTTTTGTATATAGAAAAAAATTATTTAAAATATTAATTAAAATATATTAATAAAATTTTAAGAATTATAGATTTCTTTATAATTTATTAATAAAATTATAAAGAATATTATTATTTTCTAAATTTTATTAATAAATTATAATCTAATACTTTAAGTAATCTTGTTTTATATATAAAAATCAATTAAAATAATATATTTTAATTTTATATTTAATAAACTTTAAAGAAAAGTTGTTTAATTTTAATTTTTAATAATAGTTTTTATTAAAAATTTAAAATTAAGTTTTTTTCTTTAAAATTTAGCAAGTACAAAATAAAATATACTGTTTTAATATATTTTTATTAAAAATTTAAAATTAAGCATCTTTTTTTAAAATTTAGTAAGTACAAAATAAAATATACTGTTTTAATATATTTTAATATATAGAACAAAGTTATTTAAAGCATAAAGTTCAAATTAGAATATAATAACATAGTAAAATAAATAGAATGTTAATTCTTTATATAGTAAGTTATGAGTTCAAAATCTATTAATATTAAAAATTTAGATAATTATTTATAAAATACTCAACTAACATTATAGCAACAACATATTATTAATTAGTTAAAATAAGATACTTGTAACTATAGTTATATCAGTATAACTAAAAGATCTAAGTAAAAAAATAATTTTGATCTTTGACAGTACTACTATAAAGTTTAAACCAAAAAAACAGATATTAATATAAAAGAATCAAATAAACAAGCACCTCTAAATAAGAAGTACTACCAACTAGACTGCTAGATCAAATTAAAAAAAAAGATATGATTAATATAAAACTCTTTCTATGATCTTTTTTATATAAAAAAAACTAAAAATTTATTAGTAACAAAATTGCTAATATCTAATTATTTTATTATAATAATCAACTTTGATGTCTTAAGTAAACTTTTTTAGCTTTTAATTTTACATATATTTTGAAGATTTAAGTTTATAATTTTCAAACTCACAGTTTAACATTATTAAAACAGGCTTTGGTCTTCACTATTAAACTTTTAATAAAGTATTCTGTTAATCTATTATATAGTTATAATAAAAGTTGTAAAACACTCCCTTCTGATTAAAACAAGTCCAAAAAGAAGTATGTAGTCTTAAAATTAATAGAATTATAATAGAAAATAACTTTAACTCCTCTATAGTTTTTTTATAAAAATATATTTTTTTTTGTTTTTGCTAAAATCATAATTATCAGCAACTATTGTCTTTATTGTATTTTAATTATAATTATATAACTTGTATAAGATGAATATACAACTAGTCATATATACAACTTTTGGTTATTTATTTTAAGTAATTTGTTCACATAGCAGGTTCTATACTAGTTGTCATATTTGCAATCTACTAAAAGATTACTTATTTAAATACTCTGATTCTTATACTTATACTGACAAATAGCATACAAGTTTTTATACATCTAAGTGCTATATAACCTAACCTTAACTTTACTTTCTATACATTTGTCAAGTTGTTACATATTTAAGAATACATTATCTAATTGTAAGACTCCAAAGGACTTCCTTGCTAACTAATTACCCATATTTAATCTTTTTGTTTTTTATAAAATTCATTTAAGAAGCTTTCACTTATTATATAAATATATCTACTCCCTTAGACCCAGGGTTTTGGAAACCCTCTAAAAACCCTTTACATAATTACCAAATGGTTGGTTAACAGTCCCATATGGTGCAGTAATTAACTATTACAAGATTATATTATAACAGTCTCATTTAATACAGTAACTAATAGTTTTAACAGTTATTTTCTTTACAAGATTATGTCATAATGGCTCTATTTGGCATAGTAACTAATGGTTTTAATGGTTATTGTCTTCATAAGATTGTCATAACAGCCTGTGTAGTACAGTAACTAATGATTAATAGTTATTTTTTCTGCAAGATTGTATTATAGTCCATGTATATATAATTAGCAGTTATAAAATCATACTAAAATAAATTTTAACTGTTAATATGACTGCTATGTAGAGATAGAAAGTTTGGAGCAGTTTAATTTATGCAGCTCCTGCATATATTATAAAATATATTAAACTGATCCAAACCAATCCACCTATCCCTACTGCTACATAATTTATTTTGTGTAACTATGTTTTTTGTACTAATATTTAATTCATACATATCAATTCCAGATCTAATACAACAGTACAATAAAAACCTCTTTATTTCTGTAGATTTTGCTTTTTAGTAGAAGGCTTGGGTATGTGCACCAATTTAATTAGTAAAGCCCCAAACTAGTCATTATATGTAGTAAAATTAATACTTTTACTAATCAATATAACTATATTTAATAAATAGAGTTTTTAGTTTTCTAATACTGCAGTTTTATTAAGAGGTTCACATGCTTGGTACCTACACTTGGTACTTTTATTAAAACTGGATTTGAGTAATAAAATTTCAGATTTATCAATATAGTAGACAGAGAATTGAATAATATTAGCAAGTATAAAGATTAAGTTGTAAACTTTGGCAGTTAAAAGAATATCAAAATTTAAATTATAACATATATAGGACTCCTATAGCAAAAAGGAGCAGTGGGCAAAAGAAAAAAAATTTTTTTAAAATGCAACTTTTTGAAGAATTAGAGTAATAGGCTTTGTTCACTGCCTCTTTATGCTATAGGAGTCTTTATATATTTAGATTTAAGAATTTGATTTATTTATATGAATTTTAAATCCTATAAATAAAATCCAAATTTTGATATAGATCATAAGGTCTTTGGGTTGCATGTATTTTACTATTTATAACAGCAGAAAATATATAAATTTTCACTGAACCATAGGACTAAATTGACTAAATAAAATAAAAAAGATTTTTTTAAGAGATGTATACTATTTAGTTGAGATTTAAAACCTTTGTTGATAATAATTTTTAAGTAGAATATAAGGTAAGATGCTAAACATTTTGTTAAAGTTTTGTTATGATTTTCTATCCTTTCTTTATTAAAATTAATCTTTATTTCAGATTATTACAATAAAAATTTATTAAATAAAAAAATTAATAAATGAAAAATTTTATTCAGTTTTTTGTTTTTTTACTATCATATCAGTTTTTTTAGTCTTCCAGGTCTGTATTTAGTTGGACAGACTTTCTTTGCTGTTGTTTTAGTTTTTTTTGACCTTTCAGGTTTATGTTTAGTCAGACTAACTTTCTTTGAAAGTTGGCTTTTTTTGTAGACAGTAACCATCAAAACTGTTAGAAAATATTTTTTACAAACAGAGCAGAGATAATTTATATAATTATCAGTTATGAAAGAACAAAGTTGGTTATATTCTGGTATTTTTTTCTTGCTAAAATACTCTAATAGATGTATTAAATTAATATAATGTCTATCTTTTCTTATTGCTTGAGAAAGGAGAAAACCATCATTTGAAGCAAAAAGGCTTGCAGCCTCTTCGCATCTTTTAAGAGAGCAACATTTGATATTATTATATTTTTTTACATCTAATGAGTATTTACAGATCCTTGTATAGATCTCTATTCATTCTTAAGATACATTATCTGAAACTGAAGTACTTTTCATATTGACATATTCAGTCACAACTGGCTTTTCAAATATATTGTCCTGTTTCTACCAATTGCAGAAAAGATTATTGGCATATTCAAAAATTTTCTTTGCTAGCTCTGTATCAACAACATTATCCTGTGAGTCAAGGTGGATACTATAGTGGTCAACAGGCAGAACCATGCCTACAAGTTTTCCTAAAAGGGTTGTCATACTTCTCTCAACAGGATTGTATGCTGAGTAACCTTGAGTAATTAATATAACAAACTAATATTTAGTTGATCAGTTATTTAATATTTATTAGTTGGTTAATTTTTAGTTAATCAATATTACAATTCAGTTAATTACTATTTTAACAAATTATAATTTAAGAAATTCTATTTTTATCTGAATTAAAGTTACTTGAAATATTACTAATACTATTGATTTTAGTTATATAAATAACATTATAGTTGATTAAACAACTTTAACCTAGGCAAAAATAGAAATTTTCTTATAAAATTAATTAGCTAACTTAATTTTTTTTTTTTTTTTTTTTTTTTTTTATCCGTTTTTTTTTTTTGCTATTGCTTTT